TTTAAGGCAAACAAAGAGAAGCAGGAAATCAGTGCCATCTTGTAATGGAGGCCATGCGGGCCCGTTCATGGCCCTCCACAATTATCCATCTTTTCCCTAAGTAATATCTGGTGGATTTGAACCACTTATTTTTGGTTTGGCAGTGAAACCTTTTATCAACAGGTAATAGGAGATCCTGATATAGTGAAAGATTTATTGTTGTTATGTACATTAGTTAAGTTGAAACCAAATCTTAGCTGACCATTCAGCAGGTTTTCAGAGGTAATAGACTGCACATCAAAGACTATGATGTGTCTGACCCAAGCCCAGGTACTTTAAATTGCTTTATGTTCATCTTAAAGTTGCATGATGAATACGGGAGACCAAAAAAGAATTGATGCCTTTGAATTGTGGTATTGTCAAATATAATAAGTAGATCATCAACTTATTGGTTTGAGATAATGGCTGCACAATTGAGCTTAAGTACAGTAACTATTGAAAATGGGACTGGGTCAAACAAAATTTTAGTCTGTTGTACATTAGGTGACTGTAAGTCAGAGCTCACAGCACCTAACAACAATTGAGAGAGATATGCCTATAGCTTCCACGGGATGTACAGATACATTGGCAGTGAAAAACAATAGCAAAACCTTGCAACTTTCTTCTGAGAAACTCGTATTTCAGATTAAAATGAAAGAGCTTACATTATTCCAAATTCTGACCAACAACAAATTGGAAAAATGGATAAATTAATAAATACGAAGCTGCCAAAATATTTATGTGTTAAAGAACCAAGATCCTAGAGAAAAAGATATTGGAAAAATAAATGTGTTATTTTACATACAAGTTTCTTCTTACTATATTTATAAACTCCTAAAAAGTATAGAATTGGAGCTAAAGCATTTTTTGAGAGTATAGAACAAATAAATGGGAGAGAAATAATAAGAAGAGCCTTTGTGAATCTTATCATAATTCAGACAAAAATCAGAATTCAGAATCACAAAATATACCAAAAAAGGAACATGTTCTAGGAGTCAGGGAAAAGAAGCAATGCATACAAATTATTATTTTAAGAAATTTCACTAAGCAATATTGTTATGAATCCTATAAATATTAATATCATTGCTGTTGTTATATGCTATCATTTGAGGATATAAATAAATGGTGATGAGAAAAAATGTTTTCTTTCTCATGATAATCTTTAAGAGTGGTCTGTATGACTGACAAGAACTAGAGTAAAAAAGGAATATACCCTAAAGAAACTATAACTGCCACCCAAGCAGATATATGCACACCCATGTTTATTCCTGCGTTGTTCACAATAGCAAAGAACCCAAGTGCCCATCAACAAACAAATGGATAAAGAAGCTGTGGTATGGTCACACAATGGAATACTATGAAGCATTGAGAAACAAGGAGCTCATCAAATAGTATGCAAAATGGGTGACCCTGAAAAACATTATGCTGAGTGAAATATCTCAGTCACAAAAGGACAAAGGACAAATACTGCATAATGCCACTGTTATACAACAGGACTAACATGGGGGTTGGGGGAAATCTAAGAAAAGAGGGGGAAAATAATGTACACTGCAATGAAACAGATGACAGAGAGAATTGCTTAAATGGAATATATTATTAACTATTATTTGCATGCCAACAGTCCAGTATAAGAGCTGCATAGGAAAGTGGATGGGGGGGAGGGGAGGGGAATTGTATAACAATGAAAGAATTTTTTTAAAGAGAAAAGTAAACTGGGGGTGGTGAGGGGGCGGGAAGAAAATGTGTAACAATGAATGAATGTAAATCCATGTTCTCTATAAACTTTCAGGAAAAATCTCAATTAAAAAAAAGACTTGCATTGGTAGAGAGTTGTTGAAAAGAGCATCAATGAAATTGGTTGAAATAAATCAAAACAATGGGCTCAATTCTGAAATCATGAAGATGGTGCAAGACTGGGAAGCATTTTTTGGAGTTTATACTCCAACTTCGAGTTGGAGGCCTGACTTATGGCAATTAACTACACAAAAAGCTCTCTTAGATGATCACATGAAAACAGAGTGGAACGATGTTAAGAGGCATTGTGGAAAGAAGTTTCTGATTACACACTTAAATGTCTAGGTAAAAGGTCATTGCAGGAGTTTGGCTCCTTAGTTACATAATACAAGGGCAATAAATTATTTTTATTCCAGAATTAGAAATAAAAATCACCCGACTGTGCAATATGTAAAAAAGAGATAAAAAGAAAAGAAACTGCACGCAATCCAAAGGCATGTGGTTCGAACCCACCAGCTGTCCATGGGAGAAGGATGGACAATCTTCTCCCATGTGATTTACTGCTCCAAAAGACTCCAACTAATTGGCACACAACAACAACAACAACAACAGTAAAGTACAGAAGAAAACCCATAATATTCCATTAAATGACTAGACTAAAAAGTGGAAATTCCACCTGATCTTTATCTTTACCACAACTTAATCTTTTCCTTTTAATGCTGTTTCCTTACTTTAGGCACACTTCATAGGGCTATTTCCCTATTTCTTCAATATGATGCAAAAGAAAACTCAAGTTTATTATAAATTGATTTATTAGAACAAACTAGTAATATTTTCAAAGTCTCATGTTAAGAAGCTGTGCTTCAATCACAAAGGCAAGCAATTCACATCTACAAGCTGCTCTATAGGAGAAAGATGGGCAATCTCTTCCTGTGTGATTGACTGCCTCTGAAAACACAATGGAGAGTCAGCTTATGGGTCTATTCCAACTTGACAGTACAACAAAATAATAAAATAATAACAAAAAACATAACAGCAAAATAATACAATACTATTTTCTCTATCAGAGCAAAAATAAAACTCATGAATGTGTACACTCTGGGTTTTGTAGATGCTTGTAGTAGAGAAAAGTAAATGGTTAAATTTGAAGAATATTATTTAAAAATCTGTGTTTTTTGTTGAAAAGGGGCATGAAGTTTCACTTCAAAATATTAATAGAAAACCTTCTTTTAATAAAAATAACTTACTGTTTTCATGTGCCTTTCTAAGAAATAGTAAAATGTATTATAATTTTTATCATTTCCACTTAAATTTCACAACATACTTTCTCCTCTATTAACCTGAAATTATTTTATATGCTATTTTTTCCTCAGTATATTCCTTCCATCTTCTTTTAATACTTCCTGGATCATTTAATATTCTGCCCAAAGCATCATTGATTACAGCAACTCTAGGTTTGAATCTGTTCTTCAGTTCCTTGAGCTTAAGAAATGCTGAGCGAGT